TCAGAGAAGGAAGAATCCTGGAGTTCTCATTATTCCTCTGCATTAAAAGACTTCTCGTCTACTTCAGCTATGACATTCGCGTAGCACCAGGAAAGGAGAGCACACTTTTCAAGTTACATGCTGGGAAGGTAAGTCAATAGCTTCCACTGAATATTATGCAGAGCCTATCACTCGATACTGCACACCCTCATATCGTTGACATAGCGGCTTCATGTGAAGTGGGGATGTGACCATCATATGCCTGCACTGGTTTCATATTATCTACGTATTCCAGTTGAGAACCTGCGTTATTGCTGGCAGATCGATGGATTCCTCAATACTAAGTCTGTGCAAGATGCGTTGGGGGTTTCCAAAGTGTGGAAGGAGATAAGCGAGGAGGTGAGTACTTGTGGATGCCGACTCGGTGTTCTCGCTCCAAGAATACTCTTCTTAGGTCTTTGATGTATTTGGTGAATATGTTGCTTATGACACAACCTACCAAGTGACTAATCTCCTCGATGCAGGACTGAAAGTGAGTAATCTGGATATGCCCGATACTAAGCATCAGATTTTGCCATAGCCTCGGATACTAGCTACGTGATACGTCTTTTGTTACAAAGACTTACGAGAGTCTTACAGAGAGTCCACAGAGACTTTTGTTACGAAGAGTCCATGCATCCGCCATTGTTGTTAACGAGGGGGCGATCCGGCCGCTGCGTCGGACGTCTCCTAGGTCCAACTGTGCGATTCACACGAGATGACTAAGTCATCATGACTGTTGGAAATCGTTGTGTACCATTATGGGTTCCTAGTGCATGAGGGATCCTCGCCTCTCTTGCTACTATAACGATCGTACTCGGTCCAATGCGACCTAGTATATCGTCTCGGCCATAGAGTTGTGTTGCCCCTTCTGTGAAAATTGAAAGGCCCGTTGATTTTTTCTCGATGTACTCGTCGTGAATGGCGGTCAAGACTATATAACTAACGCTGGTGGTGCGTTCGAATGGATTTCAAAGCTGAAAGGGAAGCAAAGTTACGGAGCGGAGCTGCAGACCGTCCCTGTTAGAGATCTGAAGGTTGGTGTTTTTCGGTAAAGTGTCGTTCCTCTCGTATGTCTCTCCTTCCTACTGCAGGACAAAAGCGGTGAAGTCTATGGCAAGCTCCAAGCCTCAAAGTACTCGAATGGAGCGAAGCTTGCGTTCATAAAGGTATAATCCCCCGGCTCGCCTCCTCGTTGAAGGGGTTGCTCCAAACATATGAGCTCATGGATTTATCAGTCTTATTTCTCAGATGCCGAATGCAGGCCATGATATTCCGTCATATCAGCCACTTGGGTTTCAATCGACATTCGAATCCTTCATCACCGCTGAGTTATGGCCATGATCTCTCGCAGCTTAGCTGCGAGATCATGGCGAGAATTGTCAAGCCTTGACAATTCTTCTGTGGTTGTCACTTATCATACGAGGATTGATCCTCTCTTCTTTTCTCTCTCATACATTCATTATCAGACGTATGGAGAAACACTAAAGGACTTATGAGATTACAAGATATGTTTGTGACGAGTTGAAAGTGATTCTGATCTGTGGCGGATATTATGAAGCCCGTATCTTTGGAGATCCATACATTTCGAGGATCTTACGTACTTCAGGGGTTCTCATTTGGATCTTAATCTTCGCCTTATTCCGTCACTATAACTCTGATATGGATACGATTCCTAATGGACTCCATTAGGAATCTCCATTAAATGGAGAAAGCGATGCTGGGTTGCACGAGAGTCCATCGCCGATAGCTTCCAATGATATGCAGGTTTTATTGAGTAAACGAAACACCCAACAATCACCTGGAATCGCACTGCCGAAGTACGACAGTAAGCGAATGTAGTAATCGCAAATACTTCAATATATTAATGACTAATACGGCATACAACTAGCTCTAAGAGACAGCGGAAACAAGACACAATCAAATATAGTCAGATATCATCATCTTGCTGCCCTTGCGATTCTTCACTTAATGCCGGAACCGGCACACTCCCGGCCGGCGCAGACCTCAGATTGAGAACACTTTAGTTCACAGTCTTCCCATTAGACATCAATCTCACCTTCCGGATGCTGTCGCTTGGTTTATCAACAATCTAGACTTCTTCCTAACCGGTTACCATAAGGACCTAGAGTTGGCCTCCAGCGGAAGGCACGAGAGCCCTTAACGAGAACCCTACCCGCATGCCTCTATGTCCGCGATAGAAGTCACTCACAAGTCTCTCGCCTACGAAGCCACCAAATACCGGCTAGCTCCCGTAAAGCCGCGAGTCTACCTTCGGTCACCTTATCAAAATAATCATTGGCAGTTACTTCATCCCACCACGAGGGTGGTTCCAACCCATCAAACACCGCCTCCTAGGGAGGCCGAATCTATTAAGGAGGCCCTCCTTAATAGGTTCGGCCTCACTCATCGCTGAAGAGTCATCAATTTACGGCCATGCGATCGACAGATGAGTGCAGGAGTGAGTGGGCTCTTCCTAATGTAAGGTGTATTATTACATATCCAGATGGCCCGATATAGTAGCTGAACAAACTCCTCCTCCGAAGGAAGCGACTTCGCCTTATTAGAAATATCCCACAGAGCTTCCCTCAATACTGAATGCACATCACGATGTGGACGCTCACCCCACGCGGAGGAGTAGAAACAACAACGAAACCCAATTCATTACCGATTTGGCGTTGTTGAAGAGAAAGCTGACTTCGCACATTGTAGATGGCTATATGTTGAAGAATGGTCCTCACGATCACTTGCTCTGCTCAGTTCGGTCCTTTTGCTGTTGCCTATTATGATGTGACTCAGTCACAGTCACAGTGACTGGGCCCTATCAGGTGTCTCGAAGCTCAACCGTCTCCTCTCAACAGAAGCTGTACTGCTTTACTCTATGCTGCCATGCTAGCCAGTTTATCAAGGGCATGGTGAGTCATGATAAAACAGGCTACTCTGGAGCGAGATTGTTGAGGCAGATGGTTACTGAAGAAGGTCCGACTCGCCTACTTGTTGTCGATCAAGGACTATTAGTGCCGGAAGTTTTATCACTGGATACATGCTTCCTGGGCAACACCAATCTCAAATAACAAATCAGCACTACTCACAGCTTCAGGAATCTTCTTCTCCGAGGAGGAGACGGCTTCAACCAAATCATTTGGTCCAAATGTACTTTCAAATCTTCTTCATTACCATCCTTTCGCTCATCGAACTCGTCGATAAGGTCTTCATCACTGAAGGATGGTGTCGGAGAGAAGATGGTTACCACAGTAGCTTCATCTAGCACCGCTTGTATCTTAGGGCCGTCCACCATCTGACAGCCAGACTCTGGACGAGTACCAGCATCCTAAGGATTCACCCGCCCCCGAATATGAGCTACCCTTATAAGGTGTCCAATATCTCTCGCCAAAGCAGTGAGCCCAGAACGCAGCTTCGTCACCCGATTTCGCTCAAGCAAAGACAAGTACCGTGCATCAGCTCTGCTGGGACGCTCAATACGCCAAGCATTGAGCTGGGAATCAGTCAATAACCATATAGGGCCAATACAAAATCCCTCACTTGTAATGGCCTCTCTTTGGATCAGGACCTCTTCCATGAGACTATATCCAAGTAGAATCGAGCGCAGTTCGAGCCGAGGGATGATCCATTTCGGGTTAAGAGTAGCCTGACGTGCAACAAGTCGACGGTCATCTCTAATACCACGAACGTCAGCACAGATACACCCATTACCAGCAGCATCGCAGCGTACAGCAAATCCTTGTCTCAGATCTACAAAGCGTGGCTGTGGTAATAGAGGAACGGAAAAGGGCGTGATCTCCCGAGCCACATCACAGGGCACATCTTTAGTGTCCCATGAAGCAGTCACACGTGCCACCTTACTCAAAAGCAGTCGTTGACGAGCTCCTTCTTCGATATTGAATATTCGATGTCGAATGTTGGTGAACCTGAGCTCTCTATGTTCCTGTCTGATTTCCTTTTCGTCCATACATCATATCATGTCCATTCTCATTGAGAACTCCTTAACGAGAGTCTCCCACCAAGGTAGGCCACCATGTAGATTTTCAACGGTGGCATGCGTTTATACTCTTTGGAAATTGTGGATTTCGTGGCGCAATGGAAGCGCGTCGGTTTCCGGAGCCGAAGGTTGCGGGTTCAAGTCCCGCCGGGATTATACATGTCCCTTGACTTCATCCCGTATCACTCATACGGTATCAGTCCCTGGTTCTAATCCACGCCTTCTCCCCATCATTCGTGGCCTTTTTAGAGCCCTCCGGATGATATCGTAGTCCGACTACGATACACAACACATTATCGTTATCAAACTGGTACCAGGTTTCGGAGAGCTTGATGTCGTCCCCTCGATATTCCAGTCACCAGAAGAACCCTAGGTCAGTATAAGTTTTCGAACACATATATCACCCTCACAATAGAAAGGGATGAGAGCGTACCAGATTGCATAAGTGATCCTTGTAGATCTGACAGCACTTCCGTGTCAAATTAGTATTTTGACCAAATTTGTAATAATCCATCCACTTTCTTGGAAAAAGTTTTTCTTTAATTTTTTTTCAACTTTTTTTAATGAACTACCCAAAACTTTGATGAACTAAGCTGGTTCAACCAGCCTCTCTGTCTAAACACGCACCGACTGAAATTAACGACGCTAGCTTTGGCAACTGATATGAATCAATAAATACGATCGGAATAAATAATATTAACTTCGCGAGGCCTTCATGACCAACGGGGCAGGCAACCACTCAGCCGGATCGATTGTGTTGATGCGTTGTTAACCTATGCAGCCGCACGCACCCGGGAGCAACTGAGACCTTTCCAAAAGCTAGGAGAGGAACGTTGTATCCGGCAATCGTGATCACGCCGGCTGAGGAGCTCAATTATTGACTCAAGCGGAGCGTAGTAATGTACTCTTCCGCATTTTGCTCAACTTCATGCCTGGGGAAAGCCCCAAAATCACGCTGTCTCCATTCCAATGGTGCCACCACACATCTATACTAAAGCCTACCGATATGTTCCTTCTCAGATCCCGTAGTTGGCGAACTAGATCAGCAATACTCCAACGTAAATCTGACATGCAAGACTGTCGGCATTTCGAGCGATCCATTTGCTGTATGAATGTTTTGCTTTTGGGTATCAACGTAGGTTGATCTATTCGTGTAGGGCAGAAGCTTCGTATGTGGAGAGCGAATGGTCACTCATCTACGTCGGCCGGATGACGAAGATATGCATGTGCTCAAACGGCCATCCCAAGATTAGAACCACAACCAAATGCTCGCTATCCATGGCCATTGACTACTAAACCACTTCTACTATGCTTTTCAATACGGCATTGAAAAGGTCATTATCAAACTACACTAAGAGTATTAATTATTCATGACGTTGCCATAACAAGTAGTTACACTTGACTAGCTTCTGCATCAGAGTAGTTGGAGTCCACGTCAGAAAGCGTCGATTCAACACCCTCACACACACTCTCTATACAAGATGCTGATACCGCCAATTTCACGGCAGAACCTAACGTGGGTGGTTGAGTGCTCTCGGTTACGTAATAGACTCACTCTCGCGAGCGGCAGACCACCGGCTGATGCCAGGGTAACTGAGGGAGTACTGGAAATAATTTCGTGGCGCAGTGAAAAGTTTACTTTCCTCGAACATCTTCCCTCTTTTCCCGAATCATCTTTCGTTTGATAGTATTCAAACTGGCCACAACGGTGGACCACAAGAGTAGAAGGGCGAACCAGAGGGCTCGAAGGCAGTGGCCGAGACGATTACTCATCAATTGTCGAAGTAATACATCACAGAGATTCGATCATGTCATTTTAATTTCGCGCCCGCCATTATAATCGATTTGGCGCAAAATCCAGTCGGTTCCAACTCCGACTTGCTGACATGTCTGACTCGCCGACTCCGGCGATGCCCTCGGGCCACTACCTTTTGGGAGAAACGATTGGGGAGGGGACTTTTGGGAAAGTTAAATTAGGTGGGATGTGAAACTCGGAAATGGGTAGAAGAGGAACCCGGCTTAGGAACGCACGTTGCAACGGGCGAACGAGTGGCTGTGAAAATACTCGAAAAGGCGAGGATAGTTACGCAAGCAGACGCCGAGCGAGTAACTAGAGAGATTAGGTGGGGCTGGGGAATTTCGTGGCGCGCGGTCGAGCAATGGTTGTGGTTATAGGATCCTCCGGTCCTCCGACGATCGCCGCATGTGGTACAACTGTTTGAAATAATGGAGACTCTGAAGCGATCTTTATGGTGATGGAGTATGCTAGTGGAGGGGAGCTCTTCGACTATATTGTCGAAAATGGAAAGGTAAACACAGGAGAAGAATTGTGGTTGAGTGGTATGATTTCGGGTTTTCTATCGAGAGGTTCTTGGTTCGAATCTTCGTTATGTCTCTTATTGCTTCCGAATTCTCAAGTTTGACCCAGCCGCATATCGTTTCACTTTCTGATACAACATCGTTCCTGTTCAACCACGATGATACAACAATGAGTTTTCCTGAGGAGATCGTATATTAAACGATACATTGTATACACACTGGACTGGACTAGTGTTACACTTGCACTAAACAGTATCATTGAACCTGTGTGAGGATCTTCATATAGTATATTATTCAACTTGTCTCAGATCAGCGAGTCGGAGGCGTGTAAGTTCATCAGGCAAATAATCAGTGGCGTTTGCAGCCTGCATATGAGGAACGTGGTTCATCGGTGAGTCCAGGGAGGAGGGGTATGCCCACGCCTTAATCGGCTCTTTCGCGTTATGGGATTGGATTCCCCCCTGAAATATGGGGCCGCTTTTATCAACTATTTACTCACCTTGAAGCGATGAAAAACTAAGGTAGGATCATTTCGCTGAGAGATGAGAAGCGATGCGAGGTTTACTTCAATTCCACAGACTCACCCTCAAGTTGAGAACCTCCAAGATCTGACGTTAGTTTTCTTGAGTGAGGGAGTTGGTTACTTCCACTAACCCACGTTCTCGAGATTTCGGTGAGGCCATCACGAATTGGTGTTTTCGTCTAGTAACTCTCTGTGTGGTCATTTGATTACAACATTGTTGAGGTTATACCGTGGAAGATTCCGTCCTCAGGGACCTCAAGCCCGAGAATTTACTCCTCGATAAGAACCACAATATTATCATCGCCGATTTGGGCCTGTCTAATTTCTTCCATCCGGGGGAGCCTCTACAGACTGCATGCGGGTCGCCCTGCTACGCTCCGCCTGAAATGGTTGCAGGTTTGCCCTATGATCCTCCCAAGTGCGATGTTTGGAGTGTCGGGTGGGTCGATCGGCTACGCACTATGAAGATTTTTGGTAGTTTTACGATTTCAGAGTTGTATTATATGCGATGGTTTGTGGACAGCTGCCTTTTGAAGACCATCACACACCATCATTGTATAAGAAAATACTCGAGGGTGTGTTCAAGGTAAGACGCATTCGCACAGGTGCAGATTTGACAAATCCTGGCGTCGGTAGCGCGCGCCCGAATATATTCATCGTAGGTCCCGAATGAATTTAAAACATCTCGTGAAGTGCGGCGATTGATTTTTCGGATGCTCACGCCGAATCCAAATGAGAGGCCTTCCTTCGAGGAGCTCCGAAGGACGGACTTGTTTTTACGAGGGTAAAAAATTCCGGCAGCTCATACCAAAATTCCCTCACATCATCAGACTATTCGCATCCCCCCTAGTTGACCCTGCATCCACGAAGCTTCTGTTACCACCGGGGACTCCAATCGATCGTTGTGGCGTGCGCGGCTGTCGCTCATGTGAGCTCGCTCAACGTCATGACTCGGCTTGGAGGAACTCAATGAAGGTATGAGGATAACTTCGTGGCGCGCGACAGTTTTCTGTCAGGATGAGGTCGAGCTTGATGAGAGTATCTTATCTGAGATGGACTCTCTTGGCTTCTCTCGAGAGAGCACAGTCGATAGTTTGATTTCGGGCAGTTGGGATCATGTTACTACGACGTAAGGAGTTTTGTGAACTTGTTTAGCTCAACACGTTGTTGTCTTACATTCAAGGCTTCTTATCGGGAGGTATCTGGTTCGATTCTTAGGGTCTGCATTTAGTGCGTGTTTATAGGGACTAGATGTCTTGTGATGCTTAGAAAAACTCGTAGACTTGCTTGTTTTCGAGGCTTTTCTATACTTTGACATCCTCATTGAAACTCGAATAAGGACCGGGTCGTAATGGTCAACTGCGGACTTGTTCCCACAGCTGACCTTATCTGAATCAATTCAATTGGAGTCACTCGAGGATCTGAAGAATTGTAATTAGTTACCACCTGTTGTCTGCAAAACGCTGTCGTGAGGAGCCTCGCTTTTCCCCCTTCTTCCCGAAGTGGCGGATACCTCAAACGCGTTCGAGTGTAGCAGAGATGAAGACGAAAACGTAGGTAGACTAGGTTATTCGGATTAGCAGTGTAATCTAATAGATTCCCCGTCACTCGGGTCGGCCAGGCTTTGGTGAGTCCTCGATGGAATGATAAGGTGAGCTGGTTGTCGTTGATTTGGGTTATATTATCGGACGGTCGTTGGGGGTGCTCTGTCCATCACGAGAGTTGCTCATTTGAGCGATGGGTCTGAAGTAGGGTGTGAGAATGTTGACTGGTCTGTTGCCAATTTCCGACGCGACCGTGGTTTGCAATTTCAAAGTACAGTCGTCTCGAAAATTTTGAAGACATGCAGTTAGGTGTTGAAGGTGGTGGTAAATACTGGAACCGAGAATCGAACTCGGGACCTACTGCGTGTTAGGCAGTCGTCATAACCAACTAGACCATTCCAGCTGATGTTAGATTCATTTCGTTGATGACCTGCTGTTGACTTCTCGTCGGAACGAGGACTCAATCCCCCTTACCGCTCGGACAGCTGCTGGTAAGCTGTTATATTATAATTATTTGTTAGTCTATTCAACATCTCAGAGCCTCCCCC